CTGTGCCCCCCATTCACAGGACCCTGAGGCACTGGACCATCCCCAGCCCCTGCCACCGCCTGTGTCCCCCCCGGGACCCCAGTGATCCCCCCCGGAGGAGGGGACCCCCCCATCCCCCCCATGGAGGTGAGGGCCGCAGTGGGCGGTGGGGCACAGCGTGGGGCAGGGGGGAAGGGCCAAATCCCACCCCCACCCCCCTCTGCCCCATAGGAGGACACGCAGCTGGTGGAGCTGGAGACAGCGCCTGAGGCTGGGTTGACGGGTGTTACCGTGGCCCGTGACCGCCACGGCCTCTACATTGCCAAGGCGCCCAAATCCCTGCGCATCCACCAAGGTGGGGGTCCCTGAAACCCACCTGGATTTCAGGGGGGGATGGCACACAGGGTGACAGTCCCTATGGCCTCTGTAGGTGACCGGCTTCTCAGCGCCAGGGTTTTCTTCGAGGGGGCCCCCCCCGAGGACGTCGCACGGGTGCTGGAGGGCGCCGGGTCCTGCAAGATCTCACTCTGCCTCCGGCGTCGGGTGCCCGGCACCTGCATCCCCCTTGGCGGCACCAGCACCAGCAGCGAGGGACACCAGAGGAAGGTGGCCAGGCTGGTAGGTCCCTATGGATGCAGGACAGGGATGTGGGATGCTCGGGGGGTCCCTATGGATGCAGGACCAGGATGTGGGATGCTCGAGGGGTCCCTATGGATGCAGGACCGGGATGTGGGATGCTCGGGGGAGCCCTATGGACGCAGGACAGGGATGCGGGAAGTTCGGGGGGGTCTATGTACGGAGAACAGGGATGCAGGATGCTCAGGAGGCCATATGGATACAGCGGGAGGAATGCAGGATGCTCGGGGGGATCCCTATGGATGCAGTACCAGGAACGTGGAATGCTCGGAGGGGAGCCCTATGGATGCAGGACAGGGATGTGGGATGCTTGGGGGAGCCCTATGGATGCAGGACAGGGATGCGGGATGCTTGGGGGAGCCCTGTGGATGCGGCACTGGGGATGCCAGATGCTCAGGAGTCCCTGTGAGTGCATGCCTGGGTGCAGTGGGTGCCAGGTCCCATCTTCCCCCCTCACCCAGAGCATCCCGATCCTGACGCCCTCCAAGAAGCTGCCACCGGCACCCAGCACAGTGAGCGTGGCACCCACTGGCACTGTGGCTGAACCCACCCCCACCAGCCACATCCACCGCAGTGCCACCAGCAGCAGAGCCCAAGCGACCACGTGCAACGCCATCCCGGTTAACAGTGAAGGAAGCAGCAGCCAGCAAAACACGGGTGATGGAGGAGCCACCAGTGAAACCAGAGGCTCCTGGCATTGCCACTGAGGTGCCGGTGGGCACTGGCACCCGGTTACCGGCCATGGAGGTGGCAGCACCCAAAGTCACCATGGGGCTGAGCCTCACTGGCGCGGCACTGCCAGCCGCCCCTCAAGCCAAGGAGCCAGCATTACGGCTGCCGCAGTTGGAGGTGGCTGTGCCAGCATTGCCACTGCCAGCAGTGATGCTGGAGCCCAGCACAACCATAAATCAACCCCAAATGAAGCTGGGGGAGGGAGACACCCCCAGAGGCAGCCGTAGGGGTGGGGCGAGCCCAGTGCTGAAAACCAAGCTGCCGAATTTCGGCACGGCCCCAGCAGAGGATGAGGAGAGGGATGCTGGCACGCGAGGGGGAGTCGCCAGCATCCGTGTCCCCTCCATTGCCATCGCCGTCCCCAGCACTGCCGTGGAGCTGGTCCCTGAGCTCAGTGTGCCCAAACCAGAGCTGGCCATCGCCAGTGGGCAACCGCGGTTGGAGGTGAAGCTGCCAGCACGGTGGTCAGAGTCGCCACCGGCAGCACCGGCTCGGTTGACCTTCCCAGCAATGGCAGTGCCATCCATTGATATTGCCGTGCCACATGTTGGTGTGGGTTTGGCATTGCCAGCAGGTACCGGCACCATGGCGGTGCCAGATGAGGGGGATGCTGCGGTGATGCCAGATGTGGCAGCCAGATTTGCCAAAGGGCTGCGAAAGCTCAGCCTGGAGCTGGAGCCCACGGCACCGCTGCCGGCGGTGGAAATCGCCACCCCGGTACAGCTCGCCGGGGATGTGCTGGCAACCGGCACCAAACCCAAACCCCCCAAATTCACCCTGCCACGGTTTGGGTTGTCCCTTGCCAAGCTCAAAATGGGCAGTGATGGCAACGAGTATCCCCCAGCGTCTCACAGCACAGCCACACCGGCACCGCCCGGCATTGCCATCACCAGTCCCACGATGGCCTTAGACCTGGGTTTGGGGACGGTTGGTGCTGCTAGTGCCAGGGTCAAGCTGAAGGTCCCCAAATTATCCCTGGCACCTTTCAGTGTCAAGGATGGGGACAAGGGTGCCAGCAGCGAGGAGGGTCCCCAGGATACCATTGTAGCGATGAAGCTGCCACAGTTGGGAATCAGGGGGTCAGGGGGGAACGATGGGAGGTCCACAGAACCGGGGTCCCCTGGGACCCCCCGGCTTCGGATACCGCGGGTGGGCATCACCCTGCCGGCAATGGGCAATCGGCGTGTGCCATCGTTGCCTAAACTCCCCGCCGGGCCGGAGCTAGGCAGGGGGGTGAAGTTGCCCAAATTTGGGGGATCCAGCCCTGATATCCGCATCGGGGGGGACCCCAAAATGATGAGACGTGGGGGAAGCGCCGAGAGCTTGAGCATTGGCACAGCAGGAAGGAAGATGCCGGAGTCTCCCAGCACAATCCGGTTGAAGCTGAAAACCAGGGGGGCAATGGGTGATGGGGGGGCACAACCATTGACCCCTCAGTTCACCATCCCTGCTGTGGGTTTCACTGTGCCAGTAAAACAAGCGGAGGATCCAGTCACCCAGAAGATACCGAAACCCACTGGCGTGCTGGCACTGAAGGTGCCAGTGTTGGAATTGGCACCACCAGGGATGGATGGGATGGAGGAGACCACCAGGAAGGATATGGCACCGGGACGCCGGTCTAGGGTCAAATTGCCAAAATTCGGCACAGGTTCTGCCGGGAGCAGGTTGGAAGGTGAGGGGAGGATGAGCGGTGTGAAGAAGGCGGTGTTGGTGTTGGTGAAGCCGAAGGAGAAAGGAGAAGACAACCGGGTGGTGGACCCCCATCCCCACGTCAGTGAGGAAGTGGAGGGCAAGACCCGGCGAAGGCTGTGGGTGCCCAGGGTGGGTTTTTCTCCCGGGGGGTCCCCTCCAGAGCCCCCCATCACCCAACCCAAGGGGGGGAAGATGCGGTTACCCAACGTTGAGCTCTCCCCCGGGAACCCTGAATTCAACCAGTGGCCGGTGATGACAGAAGTCAGCCCACGCTTCAATTTGGGGGCATTTGGGGGGTTGGGGACCCCCAAATTTCAGCTGCCTAAGCTGGCGCTGAGTCCCCAACCCTGTGGTGAGCAGTGAACCCCCCCCGAGCATGTGGGTCTTTGGGGAACCCCTGAAATGGTGATGGGGTGGTGGAGCATCACTTGCTCCCCCAGACCCTGTTTAACCCCCTTACCCCAAAAAAAATCCTAATCTGGCTTTTTTTTGGGGGGTGTTTGAAGCTTTTTTGCCCATTTTCCAGGTTTTAATAATAACCGGGAAGGGGGGGGACAGTGACATCGCCCCCCCGGCCCCTTGCTCTCAGCTCAGCTGGAATAAATGTTAACCCCCAAAAAAGCCCCGAGCGTGTCTATGGGGTCTGGGGATGGGTTTTGGTGGGCAGGGATGGGTTTGGGGGTCCAGGAATGGGTTTTGGGGGGCTGGGGATAGGTTTTAGGGGGCTGGGATGGGTTTTGGGGGACCAGGGATGGGTTTTCTGGGGCTGGAAATGGGTTTTGGGGGGGTGGGATGGATTTTGGGGGACCAGGGCTGGGTTTCAGGGGGTTCCTCCACCTGGGCTGCAATCCCTTGCGCAGGGGAGTGGTTGCTCCTGGGGACGATGTCAGCAACAGAAGGTGTTGTCACGGCAATGCCGGAACTGGCAACACTGTTGGGGGCCACGTTGAGGCAGCTGGATTTCCCAAGCCCCTGTTGGGTGCTGAGTTGGGGGTTGCAAGCCCCTGGCAAGGAGCCAACCCACCATGGGGACGCTGGTGGTGGGTGCCGAGTGCTACGACATGGTGACCACGGTGGGGAAGGGGACCTTTGGGGAGGTGGCCCAGGGCTGGCGGAGGAGCACAGGGGAGATGGTGGCCATCAAGATCCTGAAGAACGAAGACCACCATGGGCGGGTGGCAAAGAATGAGCTGAGGTTGCTGCAGGCCTTGCGGGAGGTGGACACGGAGGAGTCGCACGTCGTCCGTTTCCTTGAGTCCTTCAGTGATGGTGCCTATACCTACCTCGTCTTCGAGCTGCTGGAGCAAAACCTCTTTGACTTCCAAAAGCAGAACAACTTCTTGCCATTGCCCGTCCGGCACATCCGTACCATCACAGCGCAGGTGCTGGCAGCGTTAGTCAAGCTGAAGGAGCTATCCATCATCCACGCCGACCTCAAACCAGAGAACATCATGCTGGTGGACCACGCACGCTACCCTTTCCGTGTCAAGCTCATCGACTTTGGCTCGGCCAGCATCTTTGCTGAGGTCCGCCATGTCAAGGAACCCTACATCCAGTCCCGCTTCTACCGGGCACCAGAGATCTTGTTGGGGTTGCCCTTCTGTGAGAAAGTGGACATCTGGTCTTTGGGTTGTGTGGTGGCCGAGCTTCACTTGGGTTGGCCGCTCTACCCTGGCGTCAACGAGTACGACCAGGTGTGCTGCATCTGCTCCACCTTGGGGCTACCGCGGGGTGAGTTGCTCTGCGCTGCCCGGAAAACACGGTCCTTCTTCCGACGGGTGCCACATCCCACCGGTTCCTGGCAGCTCAAACCACCCGGCGAGGAAATGGTGAAGCCAACAGAGAGGAAGTATGTGTTCTCCTCGCTGGATCAGTTGGCAGCGGTGAACATCTGTCCTGTGTCTTATCCCAGCCAGGAGGCACTGGCCGAGCGCTGTGACCTGCACGGGATGGTGGAGCTGGTCAAGAGGATGCTCACCTGGGACTCGCACGAGAGGATCATGCCCAGCGCCGCCCTTAAGCATCCCTTTATCTCCTTGCAGCAGGTGAAGTCCAGCTTCGAGGCCACCCGGTACTACCAGCTCTGCCAAGAGGACTTGAGGGCATCCCATAAGGATGTTGGCATGGTTGAGATCTTCCCTGGCATGGAGGAAGGTGCCTTCATCCCTGCCAGCCAGTGCAGCATCCAGAAGGCCATCACCCAGATGGGTCGGCTCAGCCTGGCTGAGCCGGTTGGGGACACTGGTGACAAGAGCCAGCAGGATGTCTGTCAAGCCCCCATCCCCACCCACCACGGCACCCGGCACCGCCAGCATCACCGACGTCCCAAGACAGAACCCACTGCTGGTAACTTGATTGTGCTGGGGTCCCCCAGCAGATGGGAGCAGCATGGCCACCACGATGGTGGCATGGTCCTTGGTGGCATCAAGGAGCAGAACCTGCCTGGAAGACCATACACCGTGCTCCACACCAAGGTATGGCCACAGGGTGGGGGGCTCAAGTGCGGACCAGGGTCTCCTCGCTATGGGTGCTCTGGGACACTGGGTGCTTGGGGTCCCTTGGGTGCTTTGTGTCCCCCAGGTGCTTTGGGTCCCTGGATGCTTGGGGTCACTAGTGCCCCATGTCCCCTGGTGCCACACATCACAGGTGCTCAGGGTCCCTGGTGCCCCCATGGCATGGGTGCTTGAGGGTCCCTGGTGCTCCATATCACCTGGTGCCCCACGTCATGGGTGGCTGGAGTCCCTGGGTGCTCAGGGTCCCTGGGTGCCCCACATCCCCACCAAGGAGTGGGCACCCCACCCATGGGTGCCACTCACCCCCTCCCCATGCTTTTTACCCCCCGCAGAGAGCTCCGGTGACGCAGCACAACCCCAAGCCCCGACGTCCCATCACTGTCACTGAGGACGGGCTCTGGGGGCCGGGCTGGGACCCCCCTGCTACACCCGGCATGCTCCTCCCCGCACAGAGCCGGCAACATCCACAGCACTGCTGAGCCGCCCCGGCAACCCTGGCAAACACCCTGACAGCCGAGAGCTCACCAAAGACCTTCCTCTTCCTCACCTTTGGTCACCTCGACCAGCAAAACCTGGCTCCATGCCGACAGAGGAGAATGTAGCCAGGCATGCACTGGGATGTGCTGTGCCAGATGCTACCAGCACTGGTTCTTGCAATTATCCCCCAATAAACGGTTTGCCGACAGCCAAGCATTTCATCTGACTCTTTGCTGGGATGGGTTTGGCACCGCTGAGACTCGAGGGGTGTCCCGTTTTGGTGGTGGCAGAGCATTCGGCAAAGGCACGGCGCTCTCCATCACTACGGCGCAGAGGACGCCCCACTTCAATAACAGCAATGCAAAGTCCAGAAAACCTCATTTTTTTCTGTTTTTTAACTCAAATTGGAGCAGGGCAGCCGGATTCAGCACAGTCAGAACTCATGGTTCACCGGTGGTCTGTTCCCCAGCGCCTAACGGGAGCCACAGAGGCTCTCCCACCGCTCAGCATCGCCAATGTCAGCACTGTACTGGGAGCTCCAATCCCGCTCAAAAACCGCCTGCAGCTGCTCCCGGATGGTGCTGGTGCCAGCAGCAGTGCCGGCGGCGGTACCGGCACCAGTTTGGTTCACCATCTGGTTCACCACTAGTGCTGATCCCGCTGTCCGCACAAAGTAGTCACCAGACCAGTTGGATGTCCCTGCAAAGAGATTTGGCGGGGGACCCCAAAAACCACCCCCAAGCCACCGTCACCAGCAGCCAGCGGCGACTCGCACGGCAGCACCACCACTCACACCACACTCACCGATATACGCCACCTTCTCCGTCACCATGTACTTGTTGTGGTTCACCCGGGCGTAGGGGATCTGGGCTTGCGCTGCAGTTGCCGGCACCATGAAAAGCCGCTGCGGGGAGCGAGGAGACTGTCACCCACTGAAACATCGCCCACCAGCACACCGCGGGCACACCGCAATACCCACCACCTCCACACTGTAGCGTGTCTGATTATCGGCAATGGCGGCAAGGGATTTGAGGAAGGGGAACATGGTCACTTGGCTGTGCCGCCAACAACCCGCCAACAACCGAACGTTGACTTGGCGTTCGAAGATGGCTTTCCGCAGCTGGTTATCGATTGCTGGCCAAAATCTGGGGAGGGAAAGTGGTTAGGCATCACCGGTGCCGGCAAGCAGGGGTTGGCACAGGACCATATGAACCTTTGGGGGTGGGAGAATTCAGTGGTGGGTAAGTAGCTCATCACCGCGATGTCCACGAAGTCCTCGGCGGCATCGATGATGTTGAGGAGGGCGCCGAGATCCTGGGTCCGACCAGCAGCACAGAGAGCAGGTGGGGAGCTCTGCCAGAGTCATCAGACATGGATCAAGCACCGGCACAGCCAATCCTTGGCACCAGGAAAACCAACCATGGTGGATCAGGGACGTACCGAGAAGTAGACGGCGGCATCGGTGTCGTTGAGCTTCAACTCTAATGGTGTCTCCATGTTGAAGGTGGTGGAATAATTTGCCGGCCACGGTACCGGGATGGAAGCACAAGGAATGCCAAGAGCCACATACGCTTCAA